TCAGAAGCTGGAAATACAAAGTCCCTGCCCCCACCAGGCAACCACAGCTGATTTCTGTGACTATTTAAAAGTTTTTCCTATTATAACACTTCTAATAAGTGTCATCATACCATATGTACTATATATTGTTGAATATATACATAGTTTGTCTCTTTTATGCTGATTAATACTCTGTTGCATGAATATATAACCACTTGTCTTCCCATTTTCCTGCTGTTGACACCTAAGCTGTCTCCAGCTTTTGACTGCTATGATAAAACTACTGAGTACATTTTCATACAAGGCTTTTTGTGGACTTAGTTTTTTCTTTCTTTTGGGTAAAAACCTAGGCATGGATTCTGGGTCATACGTGTTTAACTTTTGAAGAAATTGCTAAACAGTTTTTCAAATGGTTGTACCATTTCACACACTCCCACAAACAACGTGTGAGAGCTCCGCTTGCTCCGTATTCTTTCCGACATCTGATTTTGTCAGTGTTTTTGATTTTAGACACTGGGCGTGAAGTAATGTCTCTGTGTGGTTTTAAGTTACAGTTCCCTGATGACTAGTAATTTGGGGCACCTTTTCATGTGCTTGGGCTTCCTACATTATCATTTGTGAAATGTCTATTCAAGTCTTTCACCTGTATTTAATTTAATTTTTTTTTGCCTTTTCATAACTGATATGTAGGAGTTCTTTATATATTCTGGATATGAGTCCCTTGTCACATATATAGTCTTCTGTTTTATCTCCTCTTTTCTGTATTAATTTAATGTGTTGCTCCAGTAATTACTATATATATATATATATATATATATATATATATATATATATATATATATATATATATATATATATATATATATATATATATATAAAACTCATTACAGTTTATTTTGAATTAATATTATACTACTTTATGTATATGTAATAGACTTACAACAGTATGATTTTATTTATCCCTACTCACCCATCATGCTATTGCGTGCATATATAAAATCATACTCCACTTATGCTTATAATCCACAATTTGTCAACATTTTTCCTTTAAAGTCAGTCATCAGTTGTCTTCATCTATCCACATACCATTTCCAGGGCACATTTTCTACTGTTTCCATCTGGTTCAATGTTTCTTCAATCTGAGTAACTTCCTTCAGTGTTTCTATAAAGCGGATCTGCTGGCAATTCATTCTGTTAATATATCTGGAAATCCTTTATCTTATCTTTGTTTTTGAAGGTATTTCTAGGTCAACACTTTTTTCTTTCAGCTACTTTAGAGGTTTTTTTCTGTTGACTTCCAGTTTCCATTGTTTTTGATGAGAAGTCAAGTGTTACTGGCATCATTGCTCTCCTTTATTGAATGTGTCTTTTTTCCTCTGGCTACTCTTAAAATTTCTCTTTACCTTCTATTTTCAGCTACTTGAATATGATGTCTCTCGGTATAGCTCTTCTGTATTTATTCTTCTTAGGGTCTCCAGTCTTCTTGGATCTGTGGTTCGATGTTTTTAGTCAAATTTGGAAAAATCATAACCATCATTTACTTAAATGTGCTTTTCTGTCTCACCCTCTTTTCCTTTCCTTCTGCGACTCCAACTACATGTGTATTAGACCATATTATATTATCCCACAGGTCATTGAGGCTCTGTTCATTTTTATTATAATCTGTTTGTGTGTGTGTACTTTAGTTTGGATAATTTCTATTGACCTATCTGGTAGTTCACTGATTCTTTCTTCTGCATTGTCCGAGTAGCTCTTAATCCCACCCAATAAATTTATGAATACAGACACTGTACTTTTTAGTTAAAGGATTTCCATTTGGTTCTTTTCAGAGTTTTCTCAGCTCTCCTGATGTTCCCATCTCGTTGCTGACTATATACATCTTGCCCTATAGATTCTTATCATAGTTATTGTAAAGTCTTTGTCTGCGAAGTCCAATATTTGCACTGCACCAGTCTATTTCTATTTACTGTTTTTTCCTCTTGATTTTGGATCGCATTTGCCTGTTTTTATCCTGTGCTTAGTAATTACTTATTGTGTAACAGACACGATGATTATACATTGTAGAAACTATATATCCTGTTATCTTCCTCAGAAGAGTGTTGAGTAGTGTTCTAACAAGACTGTAAGTTATTGATGATCACCTTAGCCTTTGGAAGCTTGGTTTTAGACTTTGTTTTGATGTGTCTAATTCAGTTTTGCTTTAGTCCTAGGCAATATTCCTCAGTCCTGGGACATGGTCCTTACTCCCAGGGTGCAGCCTTTCTGA